CACCGCGTTATAAACGCCGGGCAGCCGGCTGCCTGCAGCGCACGTGAGGCACCCGAGGCCCCTCTGCCCTGCCCAGGAGTCCTTTCCGCCGTGGGTCCGTCCCATCCCGCGCCGAGGTTCACCGCAGCCTCGACGCCCCTTGCTCGGCTCCCAGAGCTCTCCACGTCTGCAGAGAAATGGTCACAGCCCTAAGTGTCTCGCGTGAGATGGGGCAGCTGTACCAGCCCTATGACTTCGAGATCACCCGGGACTTGAGGCCCATTTTGGAGGAGTACTGGTAAGGCCTGGGGAGGAGGACGGGCCATGTCAGGGGCCAGATCCTGCTACCTGCTGGGTGTGGGGTGGGGGACCGAAGGCAGGCCGGGTGACACCTCAGATTCGGGTTGGCGGAAAGCATGCAGGAAGGAGCGGCTGGGAGGGGACGGAGGTCGAGGAGAGCTCTCCGGGCCGGCCCTTAGGGCAGTGTTTGTGCCCAGGTGGAACCTGCCCTGTGCCCCTCATTGTCCCCGCGGGGAGAAGGCCACGGAGGCAGGGGCCCAAGGCATTCCCCAGTCTGCCTCAGTTCAGCGCTCGGGGCACGTGGGCTAACGTGACCCGAGTGCAGAGGCCATTGCCACATTCTCCTTTCACCACAGCCCTGGGTTACTTCTAGGGGTGGGCCAGGGAGCTGTCGGCCGCCCCAGCAGCAGTAATCATGGAAGTCTTGGTTCAACTCCCGGTCTGAACTCTGTCAACACTCACACTGCCAGGAGGGGTATTACCTGTCTTTTACCAAGAAAGCCAAGTGTCACACAAGTAGGAAGCAGCAGGGCTGGACGTGCAGGCGAGAGCGTTCACGTGGACGGATGAGCGTGTCCCACTGCCTGTGCCCACGAGCCCATGCCCCTGCCCTCTGCCTGCCAGGGTGACTTCATTCCCCATAGCGCTCATCTACCTGCTGCTCATCATCGTGGGGCAGAGCTACATGAAGGCCAGGAAAGGCTTCAACCTGCGGGGGCCCCTGGTCCTCTGGTCCTTCTCCCTTGCACTCTTCAGGTAGGATGCTCCCCTATGCTCCCTTCTCCCCTCTCTACCTCTCCCTAGCCAGGGACTGAACCCAGGGTCTCCACACCAAGCCACATCCACAGTCCCTCTCCCTTCAGTAGAGTTCTGAGTCGGGGTCTTGCCCAGACCTCCCTTCTATCCCTCAAATCTTTCCAGAGACCTTGGGTACATTTTCTCCTAGCCTCCACCCTTCTATTACGCTGTTTTCCTTCTTTCCTAGGCCCCCGACCTGGCAGTCCCTGCTACTCCCCTCTCAGTTCTTAATACTCTTTGCCAAGACTGGCCCACAACCCCCAGCAACTCCTTCTTGTGTTTTCTTCTCCCAAATCCTTCCATCTTCCCCCTCCCACCCCAGCCCCACATTCCCTGTTTGTCTTTTAACCTCCATCTCCTGTAGAATCCCGGTTTAAACTAGCAGATGGGTCCCAGGATCTCAGAGGCCGTGACCCGTGTCCCCCTTGGAGGGGTGAGAAGATTGTGGAACGTGAGACTTAGTGATCTGGTCAGGCCAGGGGGAAGGGTGAACTGGTGCCTGGGAGTGACCTTTCCTTCTTCCTCCTCTTTCCCATTTCAGTATCCTGGGAACAGTGAGAACGTGGGGCTACATGGGGTCCCTGATACACCATGGAGGCCTGAAGCAAACTGTGTGCTTCACTGACTCCACTGAGCACACCATAATCAAATTCTGGTCCTGCGTCTTTGTTCTCAGCAAGGTCATTGAACTCGGTGAGTGGCAAGGTTTGTGTCCCCATGGACGGTGAATTTTGTGTCCCTCAGAGAGCTCTCTCACCCTCATGGAGTCCCTTCCCACCCCTCCGCCTAACAGCACATTTTCTCCCAACCCCTCTCAGATACTCTGCCACAAAGACCACCCTCCCCACCCTGAGAGTCCTCCTGTGTCCCCACACACCCCAGCGCAGAGGGTGGTCTGGCACACCTGCCTCTTCTCTCCCAGGAGACACGGCCTTCATCATCCTGCGGAAGCGGCGGCTCATCTTCGTGCACTGGTACCACCACAGCACAGTGCTGGTGTTTTCGAGCTTCGCATACAAGAACAGAGTACCCTCGGGTGGCTGGTTCATGACCATGAACTTTGGGGTGCACGCCATCATGTACACCTACTACACGCTGAAGGCCGCCCGGGTGAAGCACCCTAGGCTGCTCCCTATAGTCATCACCAGCCTGCAGATCCTGCAGATGTTTATGGGGGCCGTGGTCGGCATCCTGACTTACATCTGGAGGCAGGAGCAAGGATGCCACACCACAGCGGAACACTTTTTCTGGTCCTTTGTCTTGTATTCCACCTACTTCATCCTCTTTGCCCATTTCTTCCGCCAAACCTATATCTGGCCCCGGGTCAAAACCAAGACCAAGAGCCAGTGAAGGGCTAGAGAGAAAGAAGAGCCTGGGCCTCTCTCTCTTCCCCAGACCCCGGGGGACTGGACTCACATTTGGGGAATTAGGGTGCCTTCCCTGCATGGCTCCCCGGTGATTCATTTGCCCCACGGTGGCAGAAGTTATGGCAGATAAGTATCACCCCTGGATTGAGGGTGTGGCCTGGTACTTTGATATTTATGTTTTTATGTGAAGCCAAGCAGGCCCTGGAAAGCAGGGGTACTGAGGAGGGTCCCAAGAGCTGATTTATTTATATTTCTATCCAGAAAATGTTCTTCTTGCTTTATTTTAAAAAGTAATGACATCATGGTGGCACACGCCTGTAATCCCAATACTGAGGAGGCTGAAGCAGGAGGATCGCTGTGAGTTTGAGGCCAGCCTGGGCTACACAGTGGGACCCTGTCTCAAAACAAAAACGAATGGTGTGGACAAGATTTGGAGGGGCTTGGGGATCTGGGGAAGAAGAAGGGGGTTCTGGGATGGGAGAAGTCTTAGCAGCAAGGCGATGGGCAGCCAGGGACGCCTGAGGGTGTGTGGAAGGATGGGAGGCACACACACAGAGACAATAAGAATCCTAGGCCTGGTAGGCACTTAATAAACGTCTGTTACAGACCAGAATTTTATTGCTGTTCGGGGCCCATGCCCCTCATAGGAACAGTGAGAAACAGGTGCAGAAAGGCGGAGTCGTTTATCTGAAGTCGAGGCTTCCTAAATTGCCGGATTGATCCCTGCAAACGCGCTGGAGACCAGGCCTACCAGCTGTCCTCCCTGAGACCGCGAGGTGGCGGCACTTAATAAACGTCTGTTACAGACCAGAATTTTATTGCTGTTCGGGGCCCATGCCCCTCATAGGAACAGTGAGAAACAGGTGCAGAAAGGCGGAGTCGTTTATCTGAAGTCGAGGCTTCCTAAATTGCCGGATTGATCCCTGCAAACGCGCTGGAGACCAGGCCTACCAGCTGTCCTCCCTGAGACCGCGAGGTGGCGCGGCAGCCCCGGCTTTGAACGACGGCAGCCCAGCGCGGCTTCCCCCGCGCCCG